TTAAATTTTCTTTTGCATTAAGCCACAATGTACTGTATGTGGTTCTGAAAACAGCGCTGTAAATCCTTCCACTCAATCACCGTGACCTTCAGAGATCAGAGACATGTTGTGAATAAAACTACACTGTTGCTAGGCGCGGCGAAGACAGCCTCACGTGAGTTATTTAGGGTAATCAAGATGCATCTGTACAAATTTAGATGGGCACGCATGCACCACAAATTGACTTCGCAGTGCAAGACAGAAACTGAGTAATCAGAGCTTGAAATGAACACATAATGTCACATTTTCAAGTCACTAATGCTGCTGATCTTCAATCAGCCTGTTTCCTGTCTAGTCAAAGAGGGAAAACATCTTATTAGGACTTGTCAAGTGTGACACTGAAACTTTTTTTTCTTTACATAGATTACATACATTTTTTTACTATTCTGGGATTTTACATGTATAAATTACCTAATCTACTGCCAGTAAAGTGCATAATCTGTTATCGATTTTTTTCAAACAAACTATATGTCATTTAGACTCCTTTAAATTATCATTAATTACAAAGAATGTTCTTCTTTCATAAATAAACATGCAAAGCCTTAATCTAAATGAAACTCCAAACATCCAAGGCCACATGTAAGATCTAAGTAGTAGAACAGCTGACACAGAAGCTTTACTTTTCCTATTATTTACACTCATGAACTTCTTGTGGTGGGCTTCAAAATTCACTAAACTGAATTAGAAAATATATCCACAATTCTACAAATCACAAACCCTGGGTTATATATTAAAATATAGTTTAACATATCTGCAATAATGTAGTTTGTTTCTTCCCGGCTGCAGGATATAGGTGAGGTATCACATTCTTCTTCTGTTGTACTGTAAATGGGTAATATCATGGGTATATTTTGGTTAAATACTATGCAGCTGCCAAGCAGCCATCACCTTGCTCAGAGTACTCAGTGGTTCATTAATATCTTTTGACCTGGAGGCTATCCATCTGATACACATCTATAACACAGTTACTCACCACACTGCTGTACTGACCGACTACATCAGCATCTAATAAGAGCGACGCAGAAATAAAAAGAAGTTTAAAACTATAATGCAACACGTTTCTCTATTAAGCAAAAAACAAAACAAAAACAAAAACGCAGTAGCTTGAACAAGGCCACATGTTCCATGTCTTTGCATTGTCCCAGTACACTCACAACAAGTATCTTCTTTCAGTGTATTAAAAGAAACATTGAGAAAACAATCAAAGCAATTAAAACATTTTAGATTTTTGTTTTCATCCCAGTCTGTCTTGACTCAAACAAAACATTTGGTATATAGAGAGAGACTTCTTAAAAAAAGAAGCATTAAAGAGGTGCACAATTTTGATAGCCATCCCTCAATCGGCTCCATTTTTTATTTTTTTTTGCAGTGGTGTCTTGTAAAACTGCCAGCTTGATTTCAGCCCATTCTTGCATGTGACAGGTTTATTTTTGTGCAGTGACGGGTCTCCAGCTTAAACCTGACACCAAAGATGACTCGTTTTCAGATGGGACTCCAATCCAGTCCAAAGGAAGACTGAACAGGAATGTCTCTGTACCTTCTCAAAGGATAACAGTAAATGTTTGCTGATGTCAGCAACTTTCAGTGGAACAAAACCAAATTCTATAAGTGCAGCTAAACACTGCACAGTATCTTAAGTAAGTCAATTTGTATTACCTTTTTACAAACGGGATCAGAGATTTTCTTATCTCTTACCTTTCTTATCTGTGTGAAAATCATTGAAATTCCAAGCTTAAGAGTAATGTTATGTACATCTGTTATGGTCATGTTTTTTGGGGGCATTTTTCATGTATTTCTTTCAAATATGAACAAGAATGCACACTGAGATTCTTGTCTTACCTTTGAGTTTTATATTCCATAATTTGCGCCTTGTTGTAAACTCCTCAAAAGTGTTTCATCTCTTTAAAAAAGCCTTTGACGCTGATCTGATCTGTCCCCTCTCACAGCTTCAGCTCTCAGAAATCCAAAAAACCCCTCTATGTAGTCCACTGTCAGGTCTCTGAGCCGCTAGCAGGACTCGGGGCTGGAGACTAGACAGAAATAGAGGAGTTGTCCCAGGGAGAGTGTCCACCATGGGGGACCAGAATGAGGACTCGGGCTAGCATGTGGGTCTGTGAAATCCTTTGGTGTCGAGTGTCAGATGGATGAAACAAACAGCCTCTCAACTATTTATAAATCTGGACAGCTACTATTGGCCATTAGCAGCCAGAGCTAACTGTCAGTAAACTGGAAACGTATTGCAAGTTTGTGAGGAGGTTGCAAGATCTAAACCAAGAGAAAACACTAATTTCCTGAGGATGTGCTATGGTGCTGAGTGTTTGGGAGGGTGTATGGAGGGGCTGTAGCTTGGGTGCCCTTCTGGGAGACAGAAATAACTTGATTGTGTTGCACTCAAGTGCCACCTTCTTTGTTGAACAGAACTGACAAGCACTATATTGAGTGTCAACAAGTGGCCTCCGGCCACTTTGCTTGAATGAAGCTTCATGTTGGAGACCAAAATGAGGGAATTTATTTTTCTATCATTGTTGGGCTTTCCCCCCCCATCTATTTCCTTTCATTTTTTGTTTGACACATCATGTCTGAGAGGTTAATTTTAACCTGAATTTTCACTTTATTACAGTACTCAAACCATGGCCCGTCTAATCTCCCTGACTACAGCCTCACTCAACCCCCAGCAGAAAAGGCCATAAGGCAAAGGAAGGGGAGGAACTGTACCTCCCCCTTTCACCCCCATAGCTCCTTCCCCTCCTACAGCATGCTGCTATAATAGGAGATTGCTGCAGCAGATAGTTTCCTGGGATTCTTGGCGGGTGCAGGGCTGGCCTGACAGGATGATGGACACACACACATGGGCCTTAATGGAGACGCACTCCTCCGCACATGCCCACACACACACACACACACACATACACAGATGGTTTTACGTAGAGCTCACTAAACTTTAGGAAAGGCTGATGTAATCCCTTTTTAACTAATCTCTTTCCGCCCTTCTAAACAGACTCCACCCACACGCCCTTCTCATGCTCTATTTTCCTCTCCACCCTGAAACCAAGTCAGTCGCTGACAATCAGCTGTATGTTCCACTCATATCAATAACAGATGCAAGTTGCTGTCATAAAATCTTGTTTTGCTATTTACTTTTGGGCCTTTAATCTACGAGTACGGTCTTTTAAAAAATTGTTTTGATTGATAAACTGTCATTTGTAACATGCCTCAGTAAGAATAATCTGTACGTCATAAACGAAAAGGCTCAATTTCCCCACTTAGGTTAGACATCAGTTTCCTGCTCACTAAGTCCCTCTAGTGGGCAAATTTAGATTACAAAACACCCAGTTTTTACAGTTCTGTGCAGAAATGTGGACTTTTGATACAAACCTCTCAAGTTTTTGTACAATGCAGCTCTCCAGCTTTGCTTCAGAATAGCTTTATTGAGAAGCTGCCGGGGACTGTGAGCATTGATCACAAACGCTGAGGATGCTTTTCCTTCTGCTGAGTAAGGGGGAGCAGAGCTGTGGTTATGTGGCAAACAGCAGACAGGCACATTACTCGCTGCATTAAGATATGCTTTGTTTGTATAATCCATCCAGAAATGAGCCTAATTGATTCTAATTGATTGGGTTATTGGTCAGCTCCGCTGCAGGAATTAAAAGCAGAGACGATACTTTAGCAGGTTGTTTTGGCCCTTCACTGGACATAGGCCTGAATTCACTTTATGTCTGACTTTGGGAGCTAGGTATGTAAATAGTAAAAATTTAGTGTTGCACCTAATGTCAAGCAAAAGGAGCTGCATGTATGGATGACTCTTTCTTGAGTGTACGGCCTCTTTCTGTCTTATATTGTCTGCGTGCGTCTGTGGATGGGTGCATGTGCGCAGCGCCTCCCTGTTTCAGGACATTTTTTCCCCACATCCCTGCAAAAATATTTCATTACTGCAACAAAAGAAGCCCATTAACTGCACTGTAAGAACAGAGTTCAACTGCTGTCCCCCGTATTCACCATGTTTGTCTGCTTTTCTGGCCACTCTCCAGCTAATTTGATATAACAATGCTCCACAAAACCGCCTCAGGACTTTTTTTAGGTGACAGAAAATTATCAATGATGCCACATGCACAGCTGAATGTCAACACCAACTTGACTTGTTTATGAAATATTAAAGCAGTGAATTATGGGCACCATGCAGAACTTAATGATGATCGGAGTCATTATAACTTCAGCATCCTTTGTTTTGGCTAATGATTAAATTCCACAACTGCTGTATTCAATTTTGGAGAGACTGAATGTGTTTTTCTGTGTCTTTTGTATGAGTTGGCCGGATTACGTCGTCCATACTGGTACATTCTGGAGAAGAAGCTGGTTTGTATAAGGATATTGTGTTATCATTAGCCGCCATGTCACTGGGCTCAACATATTTGCTCTGGAGCTCTCTCATGCACTTAAAGATAAAGCATTATATGAAGGCGCAATGTTTTTGGTAATAATATTTGGGCCATTTTTAGATCCAGGAGAGCAGTCGCTACATAATGCAATATTTCTATACCTGCAGTGTTTTATGATATCAAATATGTAAAATTAAAAAAAGGGCCTCCAGTTGAAACTTTTGTCTAAATTTGGGGATTTTCTCTGAAAATGTAACACGAATGTTGCATGGGTTCATAGAAATTAAAAATCCTACCAAAAAGTCTTAAAGTCACAATCAGTAAAAGATTCACTTTATTGGTATAGTTTTCAGATATTTACAACATGCACACATAATGGTGTGAAAAAAAAAGAAGAAAAAGATGATCTGTGTACAACCTGGCACGACTTCTGACATTATCTCCCTCTCCTGTGTCACCAGGGTGTCGCCTCATCAATTATTGAACCACTACTTCATGGTAATACATAATTTCTTATCAATTATTCATGATAATGTGTGTGTAGTTTACTTAATTGTGTTATTGACTATCAAAAGTAATTTCCTGAAAATCCTCAAGGACGCAAATTGAATCAGCAACTACTGGTTGTGTGCACTGCGGTTAAGTATTCTCAGTCTGATCAGTTGATCTTATAGTCAAGAGTCATTCTAGTGAGGGGAGATATTTAAGAATAATGAATCAACAAATATATTGCCCGTGATAAACTACGTTGTGAAGAGCCCTGAGGTGATGACAGATGATATTTTTTCAAATGTAAATCCAACATTAACAAATAGCATATATCATCTTTAATGGGGTTTATTAAAAATAAAAATTAAAAAAAGGCTCGCAGAGAGGAGGGGTGAGCGCAAGCGTTCCTAAAAGTAAATAAATAATAAGAGTCACGAATGCTCTCCTCTCCCAGCTTTAAAGGAAGCTGATAAATAATGTATTAGAACAGATGGCTGGAGCGAGAGGCAACAGGAGAGGAACATGAGCGAGTACATCTTTAATTGTTTTAAAGAACATGTCACAACAGGACTGGTGTGTTCCCTGTCTGCTGGCACTACAGATGTGCTAACAGAGTGGAAGGGACAACTGCCGCTCTCTCGCTGAGTCTGCTTTAGGCTGCCTGGGGTTCACACATAGTCTAGCACATGTACACATTTACACTTAAAATGCCTGATTAATATTAAAGTGCACTTTCACTTTTAAACTCAAAAGAATGAGAGGCGATTGCTTGACCTGATGCCATAAACAATATATTGCCCAAAATCCTGCAAAACTCTTCACTGTCCTGCCAGCCATTTGCACACTTACAGTTTACATGCATTAATGTTTACAAGGTAACCACCAGACCTCCTAATGAAAATGAGAGGAACAACATCAGGATTATTTAAATTCACATTATCAAATATGTCTTTGTCGCACACATATTGTATCTATGTAAGTCCATCGAAAGAGTCCAAGAGCGCATGAAGACAGATAATAGATCCAAAAACCACAGTTGTGCTTTTATGAGGGAACAAGGCCCCAGTTACTGAGCATTTCTCACAATCATAACTTACTGTCAAATAAATAGTTAAATGTTTTCATCCACACAGTGTGATATGAGAAAAGTCCGTCCCAGGCTGTTTCTGGAGTCAGTCATTTGTGCTTAGTTTCTCATACAGCCAGGGTCGAGTAGTTACAGCAGGCACAGTCACACAGATTTAGAGTATCGGTACATCCACGTTTGTGTCCAGCGCCTTCACTTTTTCTCCAGTGGTTCCTTAGGGCAGTGAGGGTGCTTGTCAGGACTGCTGCCCAGGACTGGGACCTTGGAGGCCAAGGTGGGACTGGAGCTATCTCCCCCTCTTCCGACAGCGCCTGACACCTCAATGGGAGGACCCACCGAGGGTCTTACCACCCCAGCTGCGCTCACGCCGACTCCTGACAGGACTCCCACGCTGGCACCTGGTCCGGTTGCTGCACCAAGCAGGTTAGCAGACTGCAGCACTGCCTCAGAGTGCTCACGGGCCTTCATGCGCAGGGCGGCCACACTGGCTGTGCGGTTACCCTGACAACCATAGGGTGGCAGGAAGGACAAGCCCATGGGGTCCGAAACGCAGCACGAGCACAAGCCATTACCTGAAAAATGAGAATCAGTGGAATTTGTGATAAGACAACTTAAAAAATAGATCTTCATCATCTTTATTACCATCTTTATTCATCAGTTAACAAAAATCATATTTACCTTTCAGAGTGGCGACCTGCGAGAGAGCCTGGGCATAGGTGGCAGAGTTAAGGAGGGTGCCTGGTAAGCAGGATGGAAAGAAGGGACCACCAGGACCCACTGTCCTGTTGATACTGGAGAGAGAACAAATACTTAATTAAGTATTAGGAATTACTTAGTACTTAAATATCCAGGTATAACTTTAAGCAGACAATTTATTCTAGTAATATATATCTAGAAATATCTACAGCTATTTCCAAAATACACTAATGAATTAGAATTATTGACTAACGATATGGAGCTTTCTCCAGAAGTTAATGTTGGCTATCAGAGTTTTGAAAAAAAAAAAATTCTAGTCTGGCCGACAGTGCTTCACAAATTTCCCCTTTAACAGGACGCTGTTTCACTAAGATAACTGTGACGACGGTCGTCTGTCTGTCTCTTCTCACCTTGGCTGCATCTCCAGTGGTTCTTTCTGTTTTCTGCCCTGGTCCACTGGGGACTGAGAGTTGATGCTGCGAGATGGAGGAGTTCCCTCACTCATCTGCTCTTTCCCTCCTTCAGGGTCCGAGCTCCCTCGCTCTGTCTTCCTCCACTTTGCTCTGCGGTTCTGAAACCAAACCTGCATTTGACAAAAAAAATAATATTAATTAAAAATGTGAAAAAATAAAAAAGTACAACAAATTAATTAAACCATAAATTAAAACTGGAATTCTAAAATGGGCCTAATGACACATCAATAATTTCAGTTTAATTCCTTGGATTTAGGCTTGTAATCTAACTTGCGTAATATTGAGAGAAATTGAAACTACATTAAATATATATTCCCAATTTTTGAAATCTTGTTAACAGTAAAGTTAAAAGAAATATTCCCTACTTCCTTTGTTCTGTGACCTCTCTTATCAAGTGGCATTTGAACCTGTCAAAGCAATGCTCTGATTTCCCACAGTCCCTGACTTAGCCCCAAAACCTTCAGCATCCACAGAGCTGAGAGCACATATAGCCAAGTTCTGGTATCTTAATCGAATGAAGGTCAGTGCCTATAACAACATTTAATTGAGCAATTTTTCATTATCATATTTTAATGACTTCCCACTGACAGTTGTGCTGCCCAAGAGAGAGGCGGCAATGATGAAGTCGTTTATTTCCCTATTTAGTGATTGTTTGACAACATCAGATTCGATTAGGACTTGGTTCTAGCAGGCATTAATCATGATGTGTGAATGGAGGTTAGAGTCGGTGTGCATGTGCTCTGCATCCCTGCTATTGTACCGGGGGTATAAATGATGTCAACAGCCAAACAAAACACATGCATTCATTCGGCATAAAGAAAGGACAACATTTTGGTGGCAGGACAACAATACAGCCGATGGACTTATCTCACCCCTGCACCTTCCAGCTAGAAGTCGCGCCCCCCCACACACACCCATCTCTGAATGGGCTATAATTGCTCCATTAATCTCAATTTGCGGCGTGCTCTTAATGCGGGGGAGGCCCATTGACACTTTACACAAAAAAAAGAGGGGGGGGGGGGGGCAACAACACTACAACAGAAAGGAAATTTATTTTCTAATAATAATGTAAGTTTAATATCCCTGCATACTGCGGTGGATTCATGTTCAGATTTAATAATAGGAATGTGGTAATCGGATTAGGAGGGGAATAATTTGTTTACAATCCCTAATTTACAGCGCTGGATTCCATTATCAACCCAGCCATTGGGTTTAAGCGATAGTAAGATGACCCTGGGGAACAAAAGGCAAACTATTATATTTCCCACAATTAGATCTGCGCGCACAACAAAACCCAAAAGCAAATCTGGAATGCAGGAAATTACATACAGGACACATAACTTAATTACATCTGGCCAAGTTTATAACCGCGCATATGTGCAGGGCAGGAGCGGAATATAAATTGGCACATTTAAGGTGCATGCTTGCCCATTTTTTCTTTTATGTACGCGCGCGTGTGTGATAGGATCAGGGAGATAGGAAAGGGGAGTTGTGGAGGCTACGGACTTTGCCCTCTTTTAAAACACGTTTTTTCTCTCTCTCTTTTCTGGCTGTGTCACGAGAACGAGATCTGCGCGGATGATGTATTCCTACCTCAGAGACGCGGACAAATTAGTGAAGAACATTATCGCTGGTTAATTATGAATGACCGATTAATCAAGCTAATCTAATATTCACCATTATGTTGATGTTATTAAAGTGCATAGCCGGAATGACAGAGTGCCTTAATTTACCCTCTCTTGCATGGTCAAACGTGCCCAGGACACACCACTGCTGCAGCCATACCTGCACCCTGGCCTCGGTCAGGTTGATCTTCATTGCCAGCTCCTCCCGCGTGAACACGTCCGGGTAGTGGGTCTGGGCGAAAACAGCCTCCAAAGCCTCCAACTGCACATTGGCAAAAAACAGAGGGCAGACTTTTAATTATTAAAATGATTTGCCAGTTGATTTGAATATAAGCAGACTATTCTCTTTCTTTCTTTCTTTCTTTTTGTAAAGAGACATAGTGAATAACGCTAAATAAAGATGTTAAAGATTAGCCTGTAATTGTAAGTACTTACAGTTAAATACACGCGTGACAATCCACAATTATAATAAAAATAATCAACAGATCTTTCGTCGTCTTCTATTTTCATATGATTTTATGGCATCATTGCCTCTGGGCTTTTGGAAATAAATTTGGGATAAAGGTTTTATTTTTATTTTATTTTTTATGTCTGTGGTGAATATCAGGGAAATTCCCCCTGCCTTAAAATAGAAAACTTGCCCAACTTTGTATTTATTTCCTCCTCCTGTTGAAAGCTAGAGCGCCCTACACCTGCTTTGCTTTAAGAGAAGTTTCAGCTAGGCCCATTTCTTTTTCTCTGATTTGCATATAGCCTATATATATGTGTGTATTTTTTTTTATTTTATTTGTTCTGGTAAATAATTACCTGTTGCAAAGTAAATGTTGTTCTGTTTCTGCGCTGTTTCCTACGTAGAAATCCATCGTCAAAATCAGTTGGGGCGTGGTTGCCAAATCCGCCTGAATTCACTGAAAAAAGAGAGAGAGAGGGAAATTGGAAACAATTCAATCACTTAAAAAATAATAATAATACTGCTTTAATAAGGAGTTAATAACTTCATGATGTATTTAGGTAAGTTCAGTGATAAAAGTGATAAAAGAAAGGCTATAAAAATACAAATTTTAGTCAAAGCAGGCACATTTTGTGTTTCCATTAGTTGCATGAAACATTGACGTTAGGTGTCTAAGGGGAACCATGACGGACTAAAAGCCATGACACCCAACATCTGTGCCCGGGACAAAACGCCCCTTCTGCCCCGGGGCCAAACCACCAGCTCTTCTCACCAAAAGAGAGCAGAGAGAAAATCAGACTTAACCCTTTACATCCATCGCTGAATTTGTGTGGGGAAATATACCGGCTGCTGTTTTGGACTTGTATAAATATTACCAGAGATGCAATAAGCAACCAACAATTTCAAGTTAAAATTTGAAAAGAGTGTTTTACATGCGATATTCAGATTCACAACCGAAACAGTTTGACTTACCTAGTTTTAGTTACATATTACCACGACATAAAAAAATACATTTTATAAGTCGGTGTTGTTTTAATTAACAATTAATAACAACACATTGTGTTAAATGATTATATTATAATGATTTAGAGAAAGTAATGATAAATTCGGGCCCATTCTCAAGTCTCCGACAGCACACACACACACTTTACGCGCAGAATCACCGCGCGCTGTCTAAACATCACAAAAGTTTACAGAGAACAACTTTAAGAGTAACGTTAGAAATAATCCGTAGCTGGAAAAAACAGCGAGACAGCGAACTTACGCGTGTTGGAGCGACAGCACTCTCCGTCCAGCTGAGGTGGACAGTGGAAGTAGAACATCTTTGCGCGCTTAAGAGACTCCGAAACGGAACCTGGAACAAAGACAAAAGTTTCAGCTTAAACCCACAGACCTAGAGTAATGCAGATTTGTGACGGGAGCAACAAAAACACTCTTAAACCGTCAGCAGAAGATGCGGAACCGCGCGGGATTTGGCGAGATTCAAAGTTAATGTGTGAGAGCATCCTACCTGCGGTGAGGATGCTGATGTGAGTGAGTTAGCGCTTCGGAGAGAAGTGGCTGCTGCACTTCCACCGACTCTCTGCCTGGGAGTGTCCAGATCTCTCTGTCTCTCGCTCCCCCCACACTCTTTCTCTCGCTCCTGCAAACACACACACTCACACGCACCCCCACACACTACTCACTTCTCTCTCTCTGTCTGTCTCTCTATTTCTCTCTGGGAGTGTCCAGATGTCTCTATAACTGTATAACTGTCTACAGAGTGTTAAGGCTTTCAGCTAGTGTCGCAGAATCTCACGCCTAATTGGTCCTAATCGGATTATCACGGCTTTGTCTTTCTCACCCCCAACCCCTGGTGTGTGTGTGTGTGTGTGTGTGTGTGTGTGTGTGTGTGTGTGTGTGTGTGTGTGTGTGTGTGTGTGTGTGTGTGTCAGAGAAAGACAGAAAGGAGGAGAGGAAAGACATACCCGGGGTGGCAAACGGCAGCTCTGCTCTGGTGCCAAAAAAATTCATCACAAGTGATTGTTATTCCAGAGTCAAGCATATTCCCTAACCATAAACATGCACACATACCCACTGCACTTTTTATTTGGTTCTTTCATATATTAAAAAAAGCAGGATGACTGCTTTTGGGTTTTAGATTGACTGTCGGGTGGTTTAATTGCTCGTCAGGGTGTGTTAGGGGGTCCACTTTACAAGGGTTTGCGCATGTAGAACACTCACAAGGCCAAATTTTTGATTTTGTTCACAGCAAGGGGTCCAGCGATTTATTTCGCTTCCTCAGATAAATGATCTGCTGCGGGACCCTTTCAATTAGTTTTAAAGCGCATCTGGGACGGCAGAGCGCAGACGCCATGCGTCTCTGAGGTGGAGGCAAAATGAGGCTTCGAGAAGCAGCTGAAATTTAGAAGAGGAGTGCGGGATTGGACTAAACCACATAAAGTGCAGAAAATCCCTTCTAATGGCGCGTAATTGGTTCTGTAATATCATTACAGGCGGATAATGGCCAGTTACAGGGCCCCGCGCTATTAAGGGTTTCCCTGGCGTGCAGCGTTTATGTTATTAAAGGGGGAATATAATGATATTTTAGTTATTAAATGCGCGTAATTAATTTATGCACCACTGAAAATAAAGTTGTTATTATGACCTCGGTGAGGTGCGTGGAGAAAATTGAAATCAAATAACGGTTGATAACTTTATCCCAATATTTGGTCTAGACAACTCTTGACAAGAGTGCAGGCCTTAAGTGTGTGTGTGTGCTTCCTGTCAGCGCCTTTCCTCTCCATCCTCTGATGATTGCTTAAAAGACTAAATGCAATTACTCCTCATCTCCGTAGGTCGAGACACATTTACAAATAAACTTTAACTAGTTCAGGTTTTGCAGATTTTGCATAAGCCGTCGACTATTTCAGGACCCTGGTCAGCACCACAGTTAAATAAAAGGTATGTCAGCTTTTCCGTCCAATTTTGAGTTATCTTGTTATTTTAATGTCCTCACATTTACCTGTGTTCTTGATTCAAAACTGTCCCACATGTCTTTTGTAACCTGCAAATAGTTTGGCATATATTCATAATCATAAATCTTCCTCTACATCTGTGTATTTTTGAAATAACAAAGCCAGAAAAGCAGCCATCAGATTTATTGCATACAGTACATGCAAGATATGGAATTGCATTTATTTTTTTAATATAAAAAACAGTTTTTAAAATGCCTGCAAACAACGGAGAGGCAATATTAATTTGTTTTGAAGTGACCAAAAACCTCTACAGTGTACAAGAAAGTTTATTATAAAATCTACAAAAACCTTTAGTGAGGTATAAAATGGCACCCTATTCTTAAACTTAACAGAAAGTTGGTATAATCTGACATCGCTGAGGTTTTTGAAGAACAAAGTTTGAGAGTAAACGCATATCTGAATATGATATTACACCGTTTTAGTCAAATCAAAATAAATGAATTCAAGTATCACCAGGTACAAGCAACAATGAAAAAAAAGAACAGAACAACTGCCAAACTCAATCACAGAAACTACCTTCAAGACTTGCTTAACTAATTATGATTTCATTAGGTAACCCAAGACTGTACGGCAAAATGTCTTTCCTGAACGCAAGCAACAAGAAGGTTGCAAGACAACAACTGTAAGCTTGAGCTTGAAGGGGTGTTTAAATGTTCTTCCCTCAGCGAAAGCTCTCTTTGAGTCTCCAGATGCCCTCCTGACCAGAGGTCCTATGAAAGTCACAGATACTCCTGAGTAGTTCTCTGAAGACAGGAGCCTGTTCCTGGGTCAGTCTCGGTTTGAAATACTCGAGCACTTCCTGGGTGGTGGCTTGTCCGTCCACACTCGCCTGGAAGGCTACAAAGTTGCGCAGATCCACCAACAGCTCATCGTGCTCAGTGGGCGGAGCAGCAGGAAGACTCCCTGCAGCTCCCGAGGCATCCTCCTCCTCCTCTTCTGGTTCTTCTCCCCTGGAGGGCATGCTGAGGTGATTACGGGCCTTCATCCGGGCCAGCAGAGAGGAGGATGACAGCGGGGTGGAATTCAAGTCACTTTCTGCACCCTCCCCGCTGAAATGAGCTCCCGAACCTGGTTTCTTTGACACAGACTTCTTTATAATAGCAGCATCCTAAACAAAAGAAATCAATGAATACACCCAAAAATGGCATCAGAAATGAAAAACCACAGAGTAACATCTTTTAATGAGAACCTGGCCATTACCTTGCATTTGGTTGAAGTGGGAACAGACTGAACAGAAGGTGTAGCTAAGAGAGAATTCTTCTTTTGTCCAAAGCGTTTCCTGAGAAGGCAAACAAGACAATGCCTTAAATACATTTGAGAAAATGATAAGTTTGTTTTAAATTAAATTAGTGAAGCTCTAAAAAAAACAGAAAAAGAAAAAACCCCACCGTGTCAGTGTGAGACTACATACTTTGCAGGGGCAGGAGGAGTTTTGAAGCGCAGTCTGCACTGCTGCCGGGAAATTTTAAGAGCTTTAAGGGCATCTTGAGCCACCTTATTGGCTTCTGCTTCCACAAGAACATAGTCAGGATTGGAAGACTCTATGATGGTGTCATGCTGCATCACACTGTGAATACCTGAGAAACACCATGGAAGAAAAGAACAGCACATTTGAAAATAAGAAAAAGAAGCTTGCCGTTTCGCAAATCTTGTATATAAAAATTTCTGATACTGCAGACGGTACAAAACAAACAAACCAACCAAAAAAAACTTCTACCAGATTTCTTGAACAGCTTTGCCAAGACATAATCATCTGATTTCTTCTGGTCCTCTGCTGCATTGTCTTCGCTCTCGGATTTCTTAAATGTTCTTTTCTTTACCAAATGAGAGATGCGGTGGCCTTCGAATCGAGCATCCCGGGAGCGCTTGTGTTTCTTATGTTTGCGTTTGTTCAAGTCGCCCGAGTCACAGTGTTTCCTCTTCTCCCTGTGTTTCTGTGGGCTGGTCCGGGCAGAGTTTTTGTCTCTGTGCTGGTGAAAACTGGCTGAGTTTGAGGTATTTGTGTCTGGTTTGGCTGCATCACAGTCGCTGTTTTTATTTTGTCCCGCAGGCGCTATATCTACAGCATCCTGGTTGGTGCTTGGACTGTCTATCGGGACATTTTGTTTACCCTGAGAGTTTTTACTGCATGGAGACGTACTTCCGGCCCTTAATGCAGGAGTGTGCGTGCTGTCTGTACCTGTATTAATGAAGGTTGCTGAGGAGTGTTTATGTGCATGGCTGCTGTGATTTACTTTGTGTGATGGCTTTGGCTTTTCGGGTTTTTTGGGCACTTTGATGTCAGAACCTGTGCCTGTTTTTAGGGAGAAATAAACCAAAGTAAATAAAATGAAATCCCTCAAGCTTATTTTAACAACCCAATAACTGGACAATGAAATGTTTCAACAGACCTGCAAAAATAGCACTTGTCTCTGTTCCCTGACCTCCATCTGGATCAGCTAGAGTAAACAGCTCATAGATGTCATTTGACTTGAAGAACCGTCGCTGTTTGGGATCCTTCAGTACTCGATTGGTTAGGAACTGTTTGAAGATTTGCCTGAATTACAGCAGATAAAATACAGAATTACATACTTGAATGCAAGCTGCCATTTCAGCTCAGCATGCAGTCCTGATCCCCTGTCACCACAGAGTAGTTTGGCTGATGGATGAGCACATTAGTTAACCTCACCACTGTAGGTATCAAAACACAATGCCTGCAGTTTTTCCAACTTGCTTTCTGAAAGCACTTTACAGACAAAAAAACAAACAGAGCAACAGTTTAGAAGTCCTCAATTGGCCATTTAATAATGCAGGAATGCTTTTCAATTACCTAGAACCGGGACAGTGCAAGTACTAATATAGCAGTGATGTAAGCAATTAGTCACGTCATTGCCAATACTCATGAATGTGTGAAATCAACAGAAAGAAAACTGAAACAAAAAGGCACGGTGAGAGAAAACACAATGGCCAACAGAGGATTTTGTTTTTGCAATTGAATATTATCCTTATAAAGTGCTTAGAAAAGTAAACTGCTGTCTGACCTGTGGTAGATTTTCTCTTCAATGGTCCCAGCAGTCAGCAGTCTATAGATTGTTACTTGCTGCTTTTGACCGATCCTCCAAGCCCGTTCGCGAGCCTGCGAGCAGCGTAACACATTCAGAGCAAATGATTAAACCGAGCATTCAGTGAGAAAGGAGGAAAAGCGATGTTACAGAGCAGCAGGTGAACCAGGCAACAAGAAATTGGAAACGCATGAAAAGCTGGCATCCAACAAGAAAAAAAAAAGTAGGCAATTTAATGTGACAAATCACAACTCTAAGGAACATTAAGACTCACATGAGAAATAATTCACTGAGTCAATGTTTTTAATTATTTTACGTGTGGCTGTCTAACCTGCGTGTCAGTACTGGGGTTCCAGTCTGGGTCATAAATGATGACTCTATTGGCTCCAGTCAGATTGACTCCCAGACCTCCGACTTTAGTGGTCAACAAGAAGATAAAAATGGATTTGTCCTGAAAAAGAAAAGAAAAGAGAGAAGCAGAGAAAATACTGGTGATTAATGAACCCAATCTGCAATTTCATACTCTCTT